ATACCACTATATTATAAACTATGGCCTTCAAACTCATACAGTTAGAACTCTTAGATTTCTCACCATTCAACCACATTAGGAAATACAGTCTTCAAACTCTAAATTTCTCAGCATACAGCCACACTATAAAATATGGTCTACAAACTGGTATACAAAAAGCTCTCTTGCTATGGGCTCAGTTGATTTGGCCAAGTTCATGACCCCAATAATATGAGAGTTCATGACCCCAAAATTTAATTTCCTCACTCTAATTTTTAATACATTTTCTGCATCATCACGAAATCTGGCAAGCATTCTGTAAACATTACAATTCTTTTGCTTGTTCAATTTTAGTTAAGCATAAAGTTACACAAGGGGCTATTTGTGCTTTACTCACTATGGGTATCAAAACCCGGTTTCTGACTTACCACTATGCCACTGGGTTCCACTACTTTCATAGACAAAAAACAGAATGAAGTATTTTTACTAAACATTTCTCCATGAATATATGGAGTCAAAGCTGTTGACTGCTCTAAATGCAAATAGATTTTTGTGTTAAGATTAAAAATACTTTTCTTCATCTGAAAATTGTACATTTTAATTTGCTTAATTTCTAAAACCTCCTAAATAAATAACAAACGTTTTTTTAGTAAAACCTTATATTTTATCTGTTACTTTATCTGCCCTAACTCTACACATATTTGGTCATTTCATAGACTAAAACTTTGGCTTTCTATTCGTTATAAATAATACAGTATAAAACAGTAGTAAAAACTACTGGCAATCTGTGAAAGAGAGGATATGACAGGTATATCAGTTTGAAGACCATATTTTTTTTTAGTATGGCTGTATGCTGAGAATTTTAGAGTTTTGAAGACTGTATTTTCTAATGTGGTTGAATGGTGAGAAATCTAAGAGTTCTAACTGTATGAGTTTGAAGGCCATAGTTTATAATATAGTGGTATGGTGATAAACTTAGAATCATATGTATATCAGTTTGAAGACCATATTTTTTAGTATGGATGTATGGTGAAAATTTTTGAGTTCTATCTACACGAGTTATAGGGCATAGAGTCTAGTGTTGTTGTATGATGACAAATTCCAATACAATACATCATTTCTTCTCACACACAACTTTCTCAATTCCGTTCTGCCCTCTATATGCACATTTGTTTTTGCTCACCACTAGCATTGATGCTCACACCTAAACTCACTTTTTTCATGTAATATTACTGCATTGTTGTATGCAAGTTAGCATGTTACAATCCTCCATCAGTACGAGTATGACACACTCTCTGTACTGATTGTTCAATCATCACTCTCAATTTGGCACTGTTGTATAAAGATGTATTTTTTTCATTCAAGAGCTTTTGTGATATTTTTTTTTGTAGAAATACTTATCAAAGTGCCAACTGTTATAGAAATATTAAATTTGGAATTTATTTTTCAAACATTTCACCTGCAGGTTTTGTGACCTTTTATTTCAATATTATGAATTCACGAGTGATGGTAACTTCCACTTTGTCTGTTGTGGGACAGCAAGATGTTGTTCATGCTAAACAAACAACTAAAATGGCATTAGGTTCCTCTTTGTCTGTTGAAGAAGTTATGACTATCGTGCAATGGGAAATGGAGTCTTTCATGCAGCCTAGACCTTCTTCTGAACCTGATATACTTTCTCCTAGAAACCATGTTCATGACAAAGGGGATTTGGCAGTCTTTTCCTACCACCTACCTTTGTCAAATCTTCTGCCAATTCTGTTGTAGATCTACTTAGGACATTTTCATAATTTTTGGACATGGTTTTCTATGTATGATACCTTCTCTCTTTCTCTTGTCTTGTATGGTTCTTCTTCACTTCTTAATTCATCCCCTGCATCTGACTTTAATGATTTTCCTCCCTCTCCAGATATTCGAGTCTGTATTGAACAAATTTTTTTTTTGATTGCTTGGTTGCCTCATATGCCTTGGCTTAACATTGGGCTGCATTCCCTTTTTTTGGACTCCCATGCTCTGGAGTCTCTTCTTCAGCTTGGTGGTCAGGTCTTCTACCTTCTGTTTAACTTTATCAGGTCCAAATTTCACACACTTGTCTTACCCTCACTACTCTGTTGCATTGTTTTTTCTTCCTTTCTCTACCTTTTTGAAGCAATCCACTGTGCCCCTTTGGAGTTTTTGGCAGATATCCATTCCCTTACTTTTTCTACTTTGGCATGTTCTTCTTCCTTGACCTTGTTCTTTCTGACTTCATGTTGAACTGGAATTGACCCACCATGTATGGTGTGAAGTGCCCTAGTCATACTACACATATAACACTTCCATGAGCCTGATGCTGGTTCTAGCATGTGCTTGTATTTTCCACCTGTCCTAGCAACAATTCCCTTCTTTATGGGTGAAAAGTAGTCTGGTACAAACAAGGTGCGATCTTCCCTATACTGTTCCATGCTATAGGGTGTTGCTTTTCATCAGTTCCTTTCGTGCTATTCCCAAAGGGGGCTCATCCAAGTAAATTTTGCACCATTTTAACATTGGATTCTAGCTATGTGTGAGTGGAGGTTACATATAGTAACATAAGTTAACGTTTTCCAACACTGAAGATATATTTCCAATAGATACCTCTGTCCACACTTCCCACCCATCCTCCCCATTTTTGTTGCATATTTTCTTCCCTAATATTGAAGTGATAATGGAACAATCAGTACTGAGGGAGTCAGCTGTTCTAGGAGGATGTGCTGCACTCGTATTGGTGGTGGGCTGACACATGGTTATTTGTATGCAAGGACACAGTAAAATCACATGGAAACGTGAATTTACGTGGGAGGCTTAAGGCTAGTGGTGAGCAGTAATGTTCACATATAGAGGGCAGCACTGAATCAAAAAGATAATATTTGAGAAAAGGTAAGTATCTATTGGAATTACATTTTCATTGTTACAAAATGCTAACTTTAGAGTTCTACCTTTACCAGTTTGAACAATATATTTTCTAATATGGTTTGTATGGTAACAAACTTAGGGAATTGTATCTATATAGTTTGAAGTCCATATTTTCATACCCTTTGTTTACAGAGGTCTCTAGCCCCTTACAGGATCCCACTCACTGGCAAGTGTTGCCTGCCAGGGTATACTTAACCAAAATTTGCACAGAGTAGGCCTGTTCTGGCATGATATAATACTCACCCATGAGATAGAGTGCTCCATAATATTTCTCTAGATATCCTTGCAGTGCTCATGTTCGTAAACAAGGCCATATCCAGACTGTATCCACTCAAGGACTAGCATGAGAAAAGCAGGGAGGAGATTCCTGCCCATTATCCATGCCTAGTTAAAAACCTAGTACTGGCTTGTTTTTAAAGATAGGATTTCTGTGGTTACCCATTTCACTACCTCATGGTAATGCATTCTTCCAGATTCCCCACTGTACTTCCATCTCCCCTTTTACTTCTAGTGAAGCATGGGAGTCCTTGCCACTCACCAGTTCCCAGCTGCTGGGGAGGGGGGGCAGACCATAGAAGTTGCCGCCTGAGTGTGATCAATTTCATTCAGTAGAGTGTAGAACAATGGTTTTCTGTCCGATTAATACAGTTCACTGCTCTGGCTGACTTTTCCTCCACCCTACTACTATCTAGAAGCCAGGTTCTTGGGTGGTCTGGTGTTTGATTGGCATCTGATGCAGGTTTTGGACTGTGCTTGCATCTTCTGCATGTCCTTGCAACACTTCCTTTACAGGCAAAGAGTGTACCCTTGTAGAGATGTGGTGCAGCCTTCCACAAGGGTGCCTCTCTACTATTTTAAGGTGTAGGTGTCACATTTCATGGGTTCTCTTCAGATGCCTCCCAAGGGGGACTCATCTAGGTAAAATTTTGTACCATTCCCTCCACCACTTCAACATTAGATTCTAGCTAGATTTGAGTGGAGGTTATGTATCGTATTGGAAATTAACATTTTCCAACACTGAAAATGTATTTCTGATAGATACTTTCTTCCACTCACCTTTTCCACCCTTTTTCCCCCACTTCTGGTGCATCTTACTTTCTTACTTATTCCTATTTGTGGAGGTTTGTTGCATGATTACGCATGCAATAAAGCAGCAATATCATGTGTAAACATGTGAGATTAGGTGGGAGTCTTAAGGCTAGTGGTGAGCAAAAACGTTTGCATATAGAGGGCAGCACTGAATTGAGAAAAGCTAGATGTGAGAAAATGTCAGTATCTATTGGAAATACAATTTCAATGTTGGAAAATGTTAAACTTAGAGTTCTACCTATAGCAGTTTGAAGACCATAGTTTCTTGTGAGGTTGTATGGTGACAGATTAGAATTCTATCTATGCCAATTTGAAGGCTATTTTTAGTGTGGTTGTATGGTAAAAATTTTAAGAAGTTCTACCTATAATAGTTTTAAGATTATATTTTCAATTATAGTGACTATTTAGAGTTCTACCTATACCAGTTTGGAGACCTTATTTCAATTGTAGTTGTATATTTTGGCAATAAATTTATAAACAAAGTGACTTTTACTCTCCAGCTTATAATATTTTATTTCAGCGAATGTTTTGCCACTGTAGCTTCATCGGGACCAGTAGTACAAAACTGTAGTTGTATGTTCAAATTTCAACGGTGTTCACATTCTTAAAAAGTAGTTTTAAATCTAAGTTTACAGGCCATCTTTGAAACATAGTAAATCTTAACTTACTTAACTACAATATTATAAAAGTGGCATGCTCAAATCAAATTTTAGATTGTTAGCTGTTGTAGACTTTAATTTATAATATAGTATGAGTATTTTAAAGCATGCTTTTAAGCAAGTTTATTAGGTAAAAAACAAAGTTGTTCAAGACAGACATTTATATTATACTAAGATAAAACTATTCTTTTAAGTTTAACGTACATAATAATTTGTTTGTTATTACAGTTTCAGAGCTGTTTGATATATATTATGAGTGTATGTGTCCTTAAATAAAAAAGTTTTTGTCATTTCTATCAAGATGTTTGTTATTGAAGATGAATATGTAAGATTTTAATTTCAATTGTTCTTTTTCTGTATTCTCAAAATTAAACATGAATCTTTTTAATTTCAGCTATCTTGTGCTCCTCTCTTGAGCCCCTTCATCTTCTTTTAAGACACAGGTGTGACTTGGAATGTAAGAATGGCCCACCTGGAACTTACCTTCTCACTGCTATAAAGAATGTGACATCTCTAGAATGCTTGCTGAAACATGGAGCTGACCCTGGTTTACTGGTTACTCATGGGTTGAACCCAGAAACTCTAGTTACAGCCTTATTTAAAAGTCAGCCCCAGCAAGATCATGTTATTAAAATTCTCAAGATGTTACGTCGGTATGGAATTACATCTTCTGCTTTCAGACAGGCTGCTCACACTTCATGTATTCGTAGTAGAGAGCTGTTTAGTAGTTTACATGATGAAACAATTTGGACTGATTTATTACTTGAATTGGGTAAGTTTTATTATATAATACTAACAACTATCTTCCTCTTGTATCTACCAGAGATTTTTATACCACTAGCCTTAAGGTAACTTCACATGATTGAACATGAATAGTGCTGGTTCATGATGACATTATTGTGAGACAAAGGCCCCCAAAATAGGAGGGTTACACACCTTCAGGCACAATAACTTCTTCTATGCACTAGCACTCATGGTAAACTTCATTCTTCTCTTCAGCAATGTATTGAACAGAAGTGTTTAAGTTTCTTTTCTCAGTTCAGTTTGTTGAGATTTGCATTAACAAAACTTTAATTTTCATTTTCTTTGGTTTTGCTTAAAATGCTTTAATTTTTATCATAAATTATCAAATGATCGTGAGTTATACTTAGTCCTGAGTGAGTGATATTGTTCACAGTTAGGACTTATTCCTACTATGGCTTTTGGAGGCTTATTCACTTTTGGGGTTCTTGCAGCCATTGCTCAGTTTGTTGTGGATTACCACATGCTTACTGATCCTCCCACTCCCATCTCGTTTGTTGAATTTCTTTCTTTCCTCTCTTCTTGACTTTGTCTACGGTCTTTTTCTCCCAGTCTACAGCTGGCCATGATCAATGTGTTGAACACCTTCCTACTCGTCACTTTTGCCCTATCTTCCATTTGTTTTCTATGTTCCATCTATTTCTTTCACAGCTTCACATTTCTATCTCTTCCCTTCAACATAGCAGCATCCCCTTTTGTATTCATTAGCATTGTGATAGCTTTTGCTTATAATATTCTTGGCCCAGAGCTTGTGTTCCTCTTCTTGGACAATTTACTTCTGTTAGCCCATTCTCAAATGTTTTTTCTTCTCCTACCACTTATCTTTTGTGGTGGCTACTCAGTTGTGGGGGCTTACCCACTCAAAGTTAGGTAATTCTGGGCATTTTCTTCCCCTCTTGTCTTAATCAAGTTCAGTCTTCTCTTCTTTGTCTGTGAGCTATGGCATATCTGGTCACCAGGTTTTACACTTCTCATTCCCTTCCTACATGAGAGATGTTTTTGCTTTTGGAGATTATAGCTTTCCTGGAGCCCCCCATTTCTTTGGGGATATGCACTTATATGTTTCCTACAGTGGACTTTATGGATCCAAGGTTTTCTTTCTTTGGTTTGTTATCCTCTTTTGTGAGCCTGTCCTAGAAGTGTTGCCATGTTGACTGAAGCATGCTCATACTTCTTATGGCATTCCTTTATCACCTCTTTAACCAGATCTCTCCCTTCTTTGAGGCTTATCTCTCAGATTGAGGCACATTTTAAGATGAGGGCAGTACTTCTGACATTTGGATGCTGTATTGGCGTTCACTATACGTCAACATGCTTGACCTTCTTTCTATTTATGGTTGGAGACGGCTTGAATGGGTAATGAAGAAAAACTTTAATATAAGTTTAACATAACAGCAAATGTACGACGTTTCGACAAGGTTTTGTCATCATCCTCTCTTCTGGTCCTCTTTTCCTCATTCTTTGGCTCTGGCTGTAATTTTTCTCAGCCAGATCTGGTTTCATATATATATTTGTCTCCTCCCTCTGTTCCTTGACTTTACACAGTACTTTCCTTTTTGGGTCTTGTTGTTGGTACCTCTTTGACCAGCTCATTCTTGGTCCGCTTAACATTTAAACTGCTTTCTTATCTCCCAATATTCCCTCTCTTTCCCACTTTACCCTCACACGTTTCTTCTCCATCAATGGATATCTTCCTTCCTTCCTCATGCACATAATTTGCATGATCTTTCCCCTGTTAGGCCGGACTTTCTGATTGTGCAACATTCTTCTTGTAACATTTTTGTTGCCCTTCCACTGTTTTTGTCTGTCAATGACTATGGCAGGACTTTTGTCATGGTCCTTTTGCCACTCCTTTCCTCCTAGCCTTCATACTGTGAACCACCTTTCTGCCATTTGCCAAGGGCTTGTTAATCTCTGCATTTACTAGTTCCTAGGAGGCCTTGTCCATGCTATTTTGCTTTTACCAGTACCACAAGATGTTTCTTCCCCTGTCCTCTCCACTCTGTTTCACTACTTTATTGCCTTTATTTGAGCTATTGACTTATTACCTTTTGTACTGTCTTTCTCTCGTAATATGTTTCCACCTCCTTGCCTGTGGTTACCGTTGTTCGTTTATCTATCTTATAGATCCTTCTTGCACTCTCTTCCACTTGTATGCTCCTCTCCCCTGATCTTTCCTTCCTCAGATACTGACTGCTTGGGAAGGTAACCGTACTTCTATCCTTTCTTTCTTCTCTCACCTGTTGGACTGTTCTGACCCAGATTGGCTCCTGTGTCCTCTGTGGTGTGCCTTATCATGGATCTCTTCCTTTTGGGTTCCCTATCTTTTTTACTGTTAAGTTTACCCAATTAAAGTTCATTGTAGTTGATGTACCCGATGATGCCAGGTTAACCTGGTGAAACGTTGTACTTTCATTAAATTTTACTCTATTTATCTGATTTATCAAGTTTACTTTTAATAAAAACAAATTTTAAATGAAAGGAAGTATTTTTAATGTTTTTTTAATTTCCTTATAACAAAATTTAGGAAATGTCATAGCATGAACAATGATAGAAAAAATAAATTATATGATTTTTTTAAGCCAAACTAGATACTGCTTAGTAAAATTGTTTTAAGTTTCATAAAATTTAGTGAAGTATTTCCACTCAGAAGGAAGAAATTTAAGGGACGTTTATAACAACCATCTGGTTTATAAAGGGTTAATGGACTAACAGGCTGTTTGGTTACTAATTTGTTCCAATGAATTGTTGATTTGGTAGTGTATAGCTTTACTAAATAATATGTACAATACATACGCTGTTTTGCTTTAAATCAAGTGAAACCTTAAATAAGTGTTTGATGATTTTTTTAGTTTTCTAATTAATTTTCCAACTGAACATCCTTATGATGTCACCAGTTATTACACTTGATAATTTGATTTATTAAAAGACAGCTTGATATTATTCAGCAAAGATCTAGGATATTCTGGCTATAGTTGTATAAAAAATATGGCATACTTATTTAATCTATTAATAATAAATATATATATACACACACCTCAGGGTATATTTATAATTACTTTATACATGTTTAAATACATCTGCCATCTTATGAAGCTAACTTTAAAATATTAGTTTTAAACAAGAACATCAGTTTGGTGAGTATGAGTAACAATTCATTAAGATAGTTTGTAGTTTAGACTTTGTGTAAATCGTTACATAGAATCATGTAAAAGTAAGTTTTTAGCTGTTATTGTGTATGAAGTAGTTAATGTGTAGCTAGAATCGTGTGTAAGTTTAACTTATTGTTGCAAACAAGGTTGATTAACCAATAAGATTATTGTTGGAAACAGAGACTGGAATTTGGGATTGTATGACCCTTAACACTTCTTCAACTGAGTGAATGCTCTTGTAAAATGTATTTCAAATGGTGTTTTTGTTATTGTTCATTAATTTTTAAAATGGAAAACAATTAATTGTTAGTAGTTACTAATACTTAGTTATTGATGTTTCTTAACCATGCTTGGTTCTGTGTTTCTATATAGATTCGCCCAATACTCTAGCAGAAATTTGTAGGTTTCATGTCCGGGACATGATGTTCCAGATCTATGGACCAAGCTTCCATGAACAGTTTAAAAAACTGATGATACCCATTCCAGTGATCCAATTTCTCACCCATGCAGATGGAATTTAATTGTACCTATTTTTGCTTGTTTGTATTTATGTGAAATAAAAATATTTGTTCACTGTGTTTATAAATTCCATCATACTGGATTATTTTTATAGTGCTTTACAACATTTTAAACATTCCAGAGTAACTTAAAATTTATTAAAATGTTTCAAAAATGTTACTGAATCTATTTCCATTTTCAATATCTAATCAAGATACACAATAGTGCATCATGTGGCCAAGAAAAAAACTTGAGATGTGCGGCACACAGTGTTATTTAAAGGAACCAACAACTTGCAATTTTTCAGCTGTTTATCTGTAACTTAGTATTCCTGCCATGAATTTTTCGCCTATATTGTCCCCTGTTTAATTACCTCACATTCCAAATTTCAAGAAAGTCCGTGTAGCCAAAAACTAAGATATGTGATGCAAAGTTTGTCATATTTTATTCATCATTTTCTTTTACACACCAAATTGTACAGAATTAAAAAGAAATTAAAAACTTATTTCCTAAACTTCGATTTTTATGAAATTTGGTACACATTTAACATATCGTTTACCCTATGTCTCTACCAAATTTTGCACAAACCAAACACAATGTTTATCTGTTACAGTGAAAAGAACAAATAGTAAATGAAATTATTCTGAAATTACTTACAGGAATTACCCTGATCTCAACTTAAAAAATGGTCATTATCCATTTTTTTATCTTATGTCAATTAACTAGAGTGTCTAGGCCTACAACAGCAAAGGAGGCTTGTTTTGCAGCCTATATCATGCTGTTTCTTCAACACGTGTAAGCAATATAGTATTGTATATATATATATATACATATATTCTATATATATATATATATATATATATATATATAGTATTATATGTATATATATAG